CGGCTCTGTGCCTGCCTGCCGCCCTCGGCTCCTCCCGAGGGGGTGTGCTGGTGCGCTTTTCCATGCAAAACCCATGCAGACAGCCCCGTCCCTTTACACCAGATTATTCATGGCTGGGAAGCTTTTCTGTTAAAGATATAAAAGCTATGCATGCAAGTCGTGTTATATTTACTCTTCAGAAATCATCTCCATATCGTTCAAGTGCTGTGGAGCAGGTACTCTGGCTGAGGGAAGGTTTTTCCTGCTCTTCAAGCATATTTATTGCTTTGATACCTTTTATGTAGTCTAATGATCCTAAGCTAATCTTCAAACCCAGGAGCTATAGCCGTAGATAGGAAGTGTGCTGGAGAATTACTAGACTGATAGGCCGTATACATGGTTTTGTAAAACAGCAGGAGGCTTTTAAAGTTTCTGTTGCACAGGTGACCTTGAAATTGCAATACTGACCTCTGTGTGTGTTCTTGGTTTAGTACTGAAAATGGGAGATATTGAGAAGGGCAAGAAGATCTTTGTCCAGAAATGTTCCCAGTGCCATACAGTTGAAAAGGGAGGCAAGCACAAGACTGGACCCAACCTGAATGGCCTATTTGGACGCAAGACTGGACAAGCTGAGGGCTTCTCTTACACGGATGCTAATAAGAATAAAGGTAAACTTAAAGCTGGTCTTATGAGTTCCTAGGGACAAAAATACTCTGTTCTCAGTGATAGTTCTAGATGTACTGAAATGTGCCAAAAAGTAAAATTGTCTTTTTTTCTTCTCTCTAGGTATCACCTGGGGTGAGGATACTCTGATGGAGTATTTGGAAAATCCAAAGAAGTATATCCCAGGAACAAAGATGATTTTTGCGGGTATTAAGAAGAAGTCTGAGAGAGCAGACTTAATAGCATACCTCAAAGATGCCACTTCAAAGTAAAAGTTATCTGCTGCCTTATTTATTTCACAAAGGAGATGGCAATGGAAATGTCTGTGATGAGATTGGTTTTTAAACTTTCTATTTTTACATGTACTGTGTCTAACCTTAAAATCTGTCTCACCCATCAGATAACGTTGCTCATGGTGGGTCACTGGAGTACACGCTTGTTTGGCAGCCATTAACTTAATGGAAACTATGTAATTGGGTTGATTTAAATGACTATAATGTTCAGTCATACTTGATCAGAGAATTAAAAAAGAAAAAAAAACCAAAAAACATTTCCTGCCTCTTCATTGTTTTAAAAAAAAAAAGTACAAATAATCAAATGAGTAATTGTCAACAGCATAATAGCTTTGACAGCCCAGCTCTTCCAGATTAAAAAGCAGGGTGGTTTTTGGCATCTTCTACTATACATTTTCTGTTGTATTATTTTAAAGATTTAGAAAAAATAAAACAATTACAAAGGCTAAAGAAACTCCAAATAATATTTTTCTAAATTTAATCAGTGCTAGGTGTTGTGATATATATTAATCTGTCTAAAGCTTGCAATAAGAATGCGTTTCATCTGACTTGAGGTACTATCTGTGAAATAGCAGTTGTGCCTAGCCACTTTTATCTAAGGGAAGCATGTTACCTAACTTACCCAGTCCTTGACAGCTGCATGCACCAGTAGTGTAATTCCCTTTCAGAAACATCTTCATTTTTTTTAAGTGTTCTGGAACCCCTTTGTTCAGTAAATCTGCTGAAAACAGACATTCTTGGTGTAATGAGTAGAACAGAAAAACCTCCTGTCCTGGAAATATAAGTGCTAAAGACGAAGCTGAGAGTTACTAAATCTTCTTAATTCAATGGAAGCATTCACCTATCTGCTGTTACAGGTAATTTCAGATGAAGGGGTATGGGAACGAATGTCAAGGTAGACTAAAAGGAAACAGTCTTCCTCTGTGCCTGGCCATACCCAATGTTACTACTTCTGAAGGTTCTGTTTCGCACAGTGTAAAGCGGTATTTTTAATGTTTTAACTGCATTTTTTTCATACTAAGTGAATTGTTCAGGTGAATGTATTTACTGTGTACCAACAGTAAGGCATAACTCAGAGCAATCAATACTGTAAATTAAAAAAATTAAAAGTCTTGTTTGCTGTATGTGTCTGAAATTAAGTGGAAAAACCAGTGGGAATGTAGAGAAAAGTTGGGCATCCAGCTTTACATCATTAGGAAACAAGACAAGCAAAAGCTCATCATGAAAAACAGTAAATGCTAATAGAGTTGGTCCGAGAAGTGCTTATGTGTGTGGTGAAGTTAGAAAGTATTTTGGACTAGAACTAACAAAGCCAAGCTCTTCCACTAGCATTCTTTTTAACAGCATCTTTGCTGTGTTTCCTGAGTGGGACAGGGGAGAAAATTCAAATTAGCTTGAAAGCTATAGCTGAGCTATAGGGTTGGCTGACTTACGTCAACTAAAGTAGTATGCTTAATGACTGAGTTGCAAAAGCCTGTTAGTCAGAACTAATGAGTGAAAAGAATCAAGATTGCTAGAAAGTTGTCTCAGTGGTTGCTACCATATGTTTTGTGACTTTTTTTTCCAACTAACTGTGCAAGCAGCAGTTCCTGCAAATAGAAAAGCAGACTTAATACTAACCAACAGCAGCTTTGTTACTCAAAGCTTGTTAAGAGATACCTTCAAGTTGTAGTAGCTAGTGGCTGTTCTAATTTTCAGAAATTATGCTTGTTATAGCACCTTTATGGCTATGGAGAACTTAGCTTTCACTATGCCAAAATTCTGATATAGTCATCGTAGATACAGAATGCAGTCTTTTGAAATTATTATGGTGAATTGCACGGAGAGAGCTGTGACACTTTCTGTTCTGTCAGCGCCCTTAGGAGATGATGGAAAACTTGTCATCTCCAAGCTGCTCTTCTTCCCTAGTTGAGCTGCAGAGGAAATGGACTGTAGAGAAGAGGACTTTGCAGTAAGGTGGCATTCAATTCTGCACAGGCAACAGTTTGCAAAAAGTAAGTTATCCATCATCAGAAAAACTCTCTCGGGAGAAAGCAGAGTGGTCCTTTGTCCAAAGTAAATAGGAGACGGAATTTAGCTTGGCTTGTTCTGTCTGTGTACCTCAGAGACCTTGGTACAAAGGTAGGTGCAGCTTATACATAGCACTGAAGATGAGGAAATTGAACTTTTTAATTCTAGACTGGGGATGTGTCCTTGCTTACATTTTAGGGAAAGGACCCTTCTGACCTTTAAAATTTCATCTGTCTCTCTATGTATGCAGCCCTAGACAGCAACAGCTTATAAGATTTGTTGTAGTAGATAAACACCAGCCATTTTCCATTGGACAAACACAATACTGTAGCATTTTCTACTAGTGGATTAGCAAAGTAAGAATATTGAAATGGAAAAAGGTTATCACTTGGTGAGATAAGCGTCAATGCAAGTGCCTGGACAGGTTTTTTGGAGGGTGGGAGGGAGGCATCTATATTGGTTGTGAAATCAAGCTTTAGTTCTTGGATTTCTAGTTTTACAGAATTTACCTTTTACAGGTTTGCCTTTGTTTATGAAGTATCAAGTTTAGTGTCTTCCTCCTGATAGTGATATCAGTCCAGACGTTTGGTATTTCAGTACTTCCTTTATAGTTCCAAATTAGGGAATCAAGGCTCCATTGCCAAACATTGCACCATCCCATAAAAATGGTTCTTGGCTATGAGTACAGATTTGATGGGGCATGCCTTTAAAACTGATCTTGAAATATTTTCACGTGTAATTATGCAAATGCATGAAGATTGTCAATGTCAATAATGACTGGAAAAAAGGTAAAATTCAAAAGTACACTTTTTCACAGTATGACTTTCAAAATCAAAATGAAACAGGTGGGATACTTTTAAAATTATAGAAGTTATTATTTATGCATTCCAGTGAAATTTAGTGATACAGAAGCTCTTTCTTATTTAGTCTTAATTCAAGTGTAATCACTCTACAAACAGCTGCATTTGGGAAAGTTCCATTCATAGCCTTCCATGCAATTGTAGTTACCGCTGCAGATGAAGGTCTGTTCATTTGAATAAATGTAGTTTTTTTGTGGGATTATATACTACTTCCCTTTTTTGGTGTAAAATACAGTATCGATGATACAAAACAAATGTGGTGCATTGTACTCTTGGGTTGGGGGGGGAGAAAACCAGCTAATAGTAAGAACTATCAGATACTCTAGTCTCATGTATATCAAAGGCCACTTGAGTGCACACATTTACCTCTGTAGTAAGCCTTGTCATTTGCCGTTATCTGAAACACATCCTAAAAACTCTTCCAGAGCCAAAGCCAACAGAAGTCTCTGTGTTACTGCATATAGGACGAGTTGAACCATTTCAAACTGATGTCCCGAACACCAGGTTATTCTGGGAGGGGAGCAGCCCAGAACTAGCAGTAGGAACTGGTAACCCAGGGGAAGGGTGTGAAATGCTGACTTTTTCCAGCACTGTAGTGGCTGAGTCAGGACTCCAGGTAGGTACCGCCATCTGCTCACGATTCAGAGCTCGCATGCAAGTACTTGCATGTTTTTTTCCAGGATCGTTCTTTTGATCTGAAATACAGAAAATATGATGGTCACCTTTTGAATAGTTAGTTTCTGGTGAGAGATCTCCCAGGAGGCACGGATGACATGTTTGCTTCTGTGACAGGATACAGATTTACATCCCCAAATGGCCAGAAGCCTGCATTAACCACCACACTGAGTGTGTGTGCTGGGAAGAAGATGCTTTATACCTCTGCTGGGGCTGTCATTATGCAAAAAGAGAGCCAGAAAGAAAATGAGCAAAGAAGGAGCTAACTATAGCATAGTGTTCAAAACACATGCCTTGGAGCAGGGGAGAAGGTGTGTTCTTTCCAGGTTGTTTATGCATTTAATTTTAAACAGTCTTGGATAAAAATAAACCTGGCAGTGGAGATCAGAAGTCATTACTCTGCTGGTTTTACATCTCATTAATGCTGTTCACTGCAGCTTGCTCAGGCAATGTGAGCGCCTGCTTTGTTCCTTGCAGAATCACCCACTCTCCAGACGCATCTTCCCCTTCCTCATTCTCCATGTGTTAAAACATAGTTTTGTATGTCAGACTGTGCTGTCTCTGTCTTGCCACACTGCCAGTCTTTGGTCATAAGCACTCAAAAGCTGTTGACGGAAACATGGAGTAGTGTTCTCATCCTTACAGTAATCTGCAGAAATTCACTGCTGACATCCCCATTCAGTTGTGACTGGTGACAATTTCTTTTTAAGATGTTCTTAATCTACATGGCATTGCCTTTTATTGATCTTTCTTAATTCTAAATTTTTAACAGAGCTAAGTAAAGCGGGTAGAGTTTTATGTGACTTTCACCTGCAGTATGTCTCATGTTTGGTTTTTTTTGTTTACTGTGAGATGCAGCATGGTGTGAGCACTCCCTGATACGTAGTGCTTCCAGACAAGTAGGAAAAATGCACCACATGCACTGAATTTTAAAAATGTCATTGGTGTCACCTACATGTCACTGGTAGCCTCAAGAATCTGGTGCTCTTACCCAGGTTTCATTGCAGGAATGTGCCTGCGCCGACTGTAACCAGCCTTTCCCTGGAAGCATTTCTCACATTTCTCCTTCCACTGCTGATTCATTGTTTGGAGAACAGAGGGGAATGGAAATCAGACTTCTTCATGTCTTACCATGTTTCCTATCAGACTCTGTCATTTTATTTCCAATTATTCTGTCAGTTTACCTGTTCCTGATATTAGAGCTGGAGTTTTTCCAGTCCTATTTTTAAAGGAAAGGTGCCACATTTTCAATTTCACAATTTTTTGCCATAGTGAATGATTTTAATTCTCATGTACAGAGGATCACCCATTAGCTCATCCATCTGCTTTTCCTCTTCTTTATTTTATGTGTTACTGTTACAATTTATACTTCTTTTGTATTGGCTGAACTGCAGGCAGCTTCTTTACTCAAATGTGCTTTTTACACATTTCTTAACTCTGTAGTGGACTGTTTTTTAAAGTTTCTGGGTAATGACTTTACTTGAAAAATCCTTCTTTCATTGCTTTTTTAAGTGTCTCAAGTCTTTTTTATTCACTGAAAAGCATTCCTTTTTTAACTATCCCTCACACAATGACATTATATTTAATTATTTTGTATACATCACTGTTTTGGACCCAGCTATTCTTATGTATTGAACAAGGATTGTGTCCTTTCCATGGATACCTGAGAAATAATCTTTTCTTGTGAACCTCAGAAACACGCTTCCAAAAAGCAATCATGGTAAGTGCTGAGAAACTTCTGTAAC